TATACACATTTGTTTCAAATAAAAAAATTACAGTGTAATATTTTATTTATCACTGCTGCCTCTGGTACAGTTCCTGGTGCTTGAGCCTGGACCCTGTCCCTGGGGTCTCATAAAAGATGGGGAGTTCTCTTAGCAGCCCCAGTTCCCTCACTGCTTCAGCTGGAAGGTGGCAGGTATGACAGGGATTCCCTGTCCTGAGAATCCGCCCCCTCCCTTTTGTAGCTGCCTTGTTTCTACAAAAACAGATACCCTTCTTGCCCCAGAAAAGTTTTTGCATCTCTTTACATAGTAAAGAATGAAATTCGTTATTGCTTACAGGTAGCTCCTTAAAATGTTTTGTTAGCTAGTATCAGTTCTCAAAAGGATATGTCACTCTCTCTTTACAAAGGTGATGTCTCCTTCTGCCTTAGACTAGGTTTTCCCAGAAGCAGATTCTGAGAAAAAGATTGGCTTGCAAGTAGGTTATTTGGAAGGAGTTCTTGGTAGGGAAATAGGGACATGAGACAGGGAGAAAAGGCAGCCTTTAGGTAGCAAGCATTAATAAGCTTGTTACCACTGGGGCAGCTGGGAGACCCCTGGGAAACTGCAAACAGTACCCCTTGGAGTATTGTACCACGATTCCACCTGTTCTTGGTTGAGTTCTGCTCCTGAGGGCATGGATCGCCCAGCGCTTTCATCTGTGCACAAGCCATGTGCGCTCCTGCAGCCCGAGCAAGTCCTCAGGCAGAGTCACAGAAGCCACCTGCTTTTAAAACAGGGAGTGCTAAAGGATGTGTGTGGGGCATCAGAGGCATCTGCTAGCCATTTTTCTGCAACCTCTGAACTCCTGATATGAAATCATATCCCAGACTTTGCCCTTCGACATAGAAAGTAGAAGGAACTATATGACTCACATCAGCCCTTAAAGGAAAAAGGAAGGGCTTTCTTCCCCCAAAGAACCACAGCCTACTTTTCCATGGGTGGCCAGACCACCCCCAATAATCCTTGTCTCACACCCGTGGGTGAGACCATTGATACACATCATGGTAATAACATGAACATATCAACACAAAAATTTCCTACCACTACACGGAACACTTACTAAAAATAACCTATAGTTGGCAAACTGATTTCTACCTGTGCGCCAACTCTGATCAACTGGTAGTAGCTGCCCAGAGCACTGTGTTGAGAAGATTCTGAAGCTTGGGGGGAAAAAGCGGGTTGATTATGGATTAAGGCAGCTAGGTACCAATTCATAAGGGGTGCAAAAAAAAAAAAAAATCACTGGAAAACTTAAAAACTCCAAACATAATAAGGTGAAAAAACCTCTTTTCGAGATCCTTTCAGGAACACACTCTGTGTGTTATGTGATTGAAGGAATATTTTTCATAAGCTCCTTAGAGGTTGTGAGTGAGAGACACAATGAAACCTTCAAAAGGCAGCACACTCTACCATATCTTAGGTATATCTGTTGTGGGTGGGTAGGGGTGGGAGAACAGACTAGATTCATTGTTGACATGGATGGTAAAAATCACTGTAGACAATATTTAGAAGTCTCTTAAAATGTCCTGAAGTTGCTAGTATCTGGGTGATCAGAAGCTTAAAAGCTTGTGTAGTTAAATCCCAAAATGTATATATAATGCAACTTTACCATAACAATACAAGGTCCCTAACTAGCCTTTTCAGATGGCCACAGGAGGCAGGTCTGGTACGCTATACGGCTTTCATTTCGCTAAGTGGATTGTGTAACTTGATGTTTGCCTTTAGTGGCATTTCTACCCCTAATACTCTGCTTTTCCTTTCATATTAAATATCAACAAAATGAATAAATTAGGCCCCTATCTCACATTATACATAAAAGCAAATTTCAGATAGATTAATGAGATAAATGTAAAAAATAATAATCATTTAAAAAACTTAAAAGTTTGATAATATCCAGGGTTGGTAAGGATGTGTAGTCATGGGTACAATATCATAGGATGACTATTTCTGCTAAAATTTTGACTTCATTTCTGGTTATCTACCCTATAAAAATACACACTGAACTAATATACCTATACAAGGTTATTCATTGCAACATCGTTTATAACAGTGAAAAACTGGAAATAACCAAAATATTTCTCAAAGAAAAATGACTAATAAATTAAAGTACATCTTTGTAGATGTACTTATGGCTTTTAA